ACGCTCAGAACTACTGGTCCTCAGTTTGTGAGTCCTTTTCCTTGGTCCTCAGTCTGAGGTACTTACAAGAATGTGTGTGTGTGTGTGTGTGTGTGTGTGTGTGTGTGTGTTGAGGAGCAGTTGTCGTTGACAGCTGCACGAGTGCGGAGAGAAAAAAAGAGTCAAGTGGCTTCAAATAGCTGCCGTTCCCCTCATTCATCAGGCCTCAGCAGCCGCTGGTGTGAAGTTTGCATTTCTCGTGTTGACACACTCGCAGAGATGTTTTCAAACCGTCAGAGAAAGATTCGTGAACTATGCTGAACGAAGAGGAGCCTCTCGACTCGGACAGTTTTACACCAAACGTCTCCTTCCGTCTTTTTATTACTGCTACGTTTAATTAAGGTTTCATAAGACACCGTTCATTTTCTTATTGGTCCAATTTCCCTCATGAAAACACATTTTTGTGGATTTTTAACCTGCACGTTTCAATTTTCTGTGGTGAAATCCAGAGAATTTATGCAAAAATCATTCAAAAACTGCCTCACCTGAAACGACAAACAGAGGGAAAAACGTGGTGCTAAAGAATGAACAAAGCCACAAAAAAGTCTAATTTTTGGGATCAGTTTGAGCTCCTGAAAAAAGATTGAAAATATCCAGCAGAGTCTCATTAAAAAAAAGCAATAAAATCATTTGTCCACACGTTCAAATCAAGCCAAAAAATAGTGAGATGAGATGGTTTTTGATCTATCAGTCCACGTATTGCCAATGCTAACCATTTCTTTATGAGCAGGAAGGCTAATATTTGGGTTGTTTCATTCCTGAAACAGTATTATTAGGAAAAGAAAGAGTTAAGAGTTTGATCCTGAAATAGCAAAACAAAAACAGGACATTATGTGAATCTGCTGCTTCGTCTTCGTCCTCAAACTATTGACCACAATTTGTTGCTTTTTTTTTTAAAACACCAAAACAGCATTTTTATTTACCCATGTTTTTCAGCCATGCACAAAAATTAAGACTTACTGAAAGGACATCCTCCGAAAAATTGAGCCAATTTTAGATTTTAAACTCCAACAGCCCACCTTGTTATTACCACTAGAAGCCATTTCTGATGGACTGAGGACAAAAAAACGCCAAAAAATGGCTTCAATCTGACTCACCGATGCTAAAGGACTGGTTCCAGTAGGAGGAAGCCCACAAAATCGAGCGGTTAACTTTCAGGTTGAGTCTGTAATCTGAACTTTAGATTAAAAAATGGAGCAAATTTTCCTTTAGAACGAGTTGTGAAGTAGTTTTTAATCGTCTTTTTGAGTAAATCTGGATGTGGTCTCGTACCTGTCACTGTGACTTCTGTCTTTTTTTGGTTTGTTTGTTCTGTTTTTTCATTTTGTGTTTGCTTTACAAATGGAAAAAAACAATAAAAACTCAGTTTAGAAAAAACAAAACATGGTAATCAAGGTCCAAAGGCTTTGGGTTATGTTTCCTCAGATGGTTTCATTCAGTTTAAGTGTTTCAGAACATGATAAACTTGTGCAATATTAATTTAATGTCCCGTAATGTGACACAAAAACATGGGAAAAGTAGGAGTGTGACATCTTTTGAGCCATAAAAGGCCAGCTTAGTTATACAATACTGCACTTTCTTTGTCTTTGTCTTTGACTATTTCATTTTTGTTCCATAAGATAAAGGAGAAATCTTTTTGCTTTAAGAAAAAAAGCATCAATGTGAGCATAATGAAGCCTTGATTTTGTGATTTTAGCTGAATGGATGAGTTAAATCTGCATAAAATCTGAGAATGACAATAAGCAAAACCCCACACATGTCACATATAACTGCTGTTTTAACCGTGTTCAGACTGGGATTATTGATTGGTCTGTCATTTAAAGGCAGATCAAGCAGACGGATTAAAGATGGCGGCTGCTCCCAAAGTCCGAGGGAGCTCAAAAACGACAAAAAACTGTCTGTGGAGACCAAAAATAAAAGTAGAATTTACAGACTGAATCACAAATATTTTACATAAAAACTCCAAAGCCCTCGGCACAGAAACAAAAGGACACAAAACAGAAATCCAGCAGCCAGTGGTTCATGACTCACACTAAACCTGTACAGGACCAGAGGTCATTCTTTAATGGTCATTTTCCTTAGTCTGCCTTAAATCAAGCGTTTTAAGATCCAAAACGGGCTGATAAAAAGCAGCAGATCCTAAACTTTAGATGTTTAATATAAACATACATAAAACAGAAAAGCAGCAAGTGATGCAAGTAATCAGCGTGGACCATCGATCAATCGCTCCGGCCTCAAACGTCCAATGAGAAGCCGTCGTTTTCGTCACTGTTCACCTCTCGTCCCGGCACGGCTTTAGAAGTCTGTATAGACGCGTCTGCAAAGGTCTCAAAAACCATTTCGAAAGGCTTTCCAGCATCGTTCTGGAGCCGTCCACCGGACATCTTTTAACCCCGGGCCGCCGTCCTGCAGGTTTTAGAGGCTCCCACACGCCCGAATAAGTTCGGGTAGCATCACAGGCCCGTTAGCAGGCCCGTTAGCATCACAGATCCGTTAGCAGGCCCGTTAGCATCACAGGCCCGTTAGCAGGCCCGTCAACAGGCCTGTTAGCAGGCTTGTTAGCAGACCTGTTAGCAGGCCCGTTAGCAGGCCCGTTAGCATCACAGGCCTGTTAGCAGGCTCGTTAGCAGGCCCATTAGCAGGCCTGTTAGCATCACAGGCCCGTTAGCAGGCCCGTTAGCAGGCCTGTTAGCAGGCCTGTTAGCATCACATGCCCATTAGCATCACAGGCCCGTTAGCAGGCCTGTTAGCCTCAAAGGCCCATTAGCATCACAGGCCCGTTAGCAGGCCTGTTAGCATCAAAGGCCCATTAGCATCACAGGCCCGTTAGCAGGCTCGTTAGCAGACCCGTTAGCAGGCTCGTTAGCAGGCTCGTTAGCAGGCCCGTTCGGGGCTCAGGTAAGCTTCCAAAAGCTGCTTTTAACCTGAATCAGGTGTGCAGAAGCAGGAAAACTTCCAAACCTGCAGGCCAGGAGTTGGAGTTTACCGGTATGACTGGACCGTGACTAGTGTTAAAACCCCTTTTAGCAAAAGTATTCGTAAAAACCTGGACGACACAGCATGAAACAAAGACACAGATGAGGTTTTTTTCGTGGCTCGGAGAGGCTCTGAAACCCGGCCGAAACGGTTCTTTAGACCAGAACCGCGTCGGGACGTCCGATTGGAACACGACTCCGTGCAAATCGAAAATGTCTGGACTCGGGCCTTCATCGTCTTCCAGACTCCCCGACACCGACGGGGGCCGGTTCTCCAGCCATAACAGTCTCCCAGTGTCTCCCAGTTGGCCCAGTGAGGCCAGTCCTGCCAAGTCCTTAAAATGGAGTCCGAGCTCACATGTGTCCCCGTCCGTCCGTCTTTTTTTTCCACTTTAGGAATGTTGTCCCGGCCTGTTTCAGAGGCACAAAGAGAGTCCCGGTCTCTGTCCGGGTCAGGTTTTCCTCCTCCCTCCTCTCCTGCGAGTCCACCTTTTGTTTGTATCCCAAAACCGCCGGCGTTCAGCTCAGCAGGCCTCCGAAACACAGAGCTGTAAAGCAGACCAAAAGCCGTTACAGCCCCCCCAGAAAAAAAAAACCCAAAAAAGGAGGAGGAAATGATCTGAGTCTCACTGGGTTTTTTTTGCATTTCGGCTTCTCACAAGGTAGAGCAGGAGTGGAGGAAAGAGGCCACGGCCGAAGCAGAAGAGAGGGAAGGATGGAGGGGGTACGGGGGGGTGGGGAAGTCTCTAAAACCAATACAAATCCTTGCTCTTATCCTGAGCCTGCAGACCTGAGAGGAGGGAAAGAGGGAGAAGGGAAAAGAGGAGAAGAGCGAAGGAAGAAGCAAGAAAAGAAAAAGGGGAGATTAGACAATGAAGCGCACAACGGCGTGTTGATAAAAGCAGGAGGAACGGCCCGAGGCAGAGGGGGGGGGGCAGGTGGGGGGGGTGACAGCTGGTGTTAAAGCGCTGATTGACAGCCGGTTTGTTGGTTTAAACCGCTTGTGTAAGCTGATCCGGACGAGGGGAAACCGATCCTGGTTTAATTCTGGTTTGGATACTTTGTTGTGGAAGCTGCTTTAATTCCACAACAAAGGAAAGAAAATGCTTTTTTTTATTATTTATTTAATAATAGATTTTATTTATATTTATAATAAATAAATATTATTTTATTAATAATAAATATTATTTATATTTATAATAAATAAATAGTATTTATTTCATAATAAATTGATTTAATAATAAATGATAATATTATTTATTATTATTTATTTTATTCACATTTAGTTTGGAGAAAAGCTTTGTTTAAAGCAGCTGATTTAATAATTTAATTCCTGATTCCTAATTCTCAATTTACTGTGCTCTGCTTTGCAAAGGGGTTTTCAATCACCTCAAAAGTTGGCATCTTTTCTTGAATGTGCGTTTGAATTGTGTCAAATGATGTCTTGTGTAGAAATGCTTTTGAATTGAAACGATGCCACGAAAATGCTTCAAAAACCAGCGAGATGTCCGGCTGTCCAACACTTATACGGTGAGAAGTCGCTGATCGGCGGCTTTAATTCTGCTAAATCTAAACTTTGTTTCCACGGTTTTCGGGGCGGATGCTTCACGGATGCAGCAGCTTTTTAAGGCCGAGGCCTGAAGGCCGTTCCACAGAAAAAGCCTGAAGCTGACGCACAAACAATGTCCAAACCAAACCAGGGACCCTAAGCATGAAAAGGTGTCAAAACACTGACGCTAAGAGCCCAAAAAGCTACACAAACAGGGTTAGATCTACTCTTTGTTTTAGAATCTGCTTCGTTTTGTGAGTCTTTGCATGTCGCTTGAACACATAAGTGTGTATTATTGGGTTGCCTCAAAGCAGCGCATGCTAATCCACCTGCTCAAAAACCCCAAAACACACAGAATATTCCTCCCTCAGCACTCTGAGGGCCACCTGGTTGTGTTCCTGACTCATTTTCATGCGTCCTGTCAAACACAGATCCACTCAGAGGTCAGACTGGAGCCGTTTGAGCACGGCCACCTGTTCAACTATTTTAAAAAACAGCAACTTCTGACCTGGTCATCATTTTAAAGTCAGATCCTCACCAAAGCTCACTGATTAAGTTGACTTAGTAGTTATCTTTGACACAAGAAAAGCTGGAATTTGCGTGTCAAATTGTTTCTGTGTGTGTGTGTGTGTGTGTGTACCTCTATGTGTGTGTGTGTACCTGTGTGTGTGTACGTCTGTGTGTGTGTGTGTGTGTGTGTGTGTGTGTGTGTGTGTGTGTGTGTGTGTGTGTGTGTGTGTGTGTGTGTGTACCTCTGTGTGTACCTGTGTGTGTGTACCTCTATTTGTGTGTGTGTACCCCTGTGTACCTGTGTGTGTACCTGTGTCTGTGTACCTCTGTGTGTACCTCTGTGTACCTGTGTGTGTGTACCACTGTGTGTACCTGTGTGTGTGTACTTCTATTTGTACCTGTGTGTGTGTACCTCTGTGTGTGTGTGTACCTCTATTTGTGTGTGTACCTCTGTGTACCAGTGTGTTTGTATCTCTGTGTACCTGTGTGTGTGTACCTCTGTGTGTGTGTGTACCTGTGTGTGTGTGTGTGTATACCTCTGTGTGTGTGTACCTCTGTGTGTGTACCTTTCTGTGTCCATACCTGTGTCCATATTGAGTCCGATCTCGGCCCCTGCTCCCGTAAAGGCGCCGCTCCACGCCGTCGCCACGGCGCCCGCCTCCCCCTTCTGTCCCGGGTCGCAGGGCGCGCCGGCGGCCCCCCCCGGCGCCTCCCGGGCGGGCGGGGCCAGGCGGGGGTGCGTTCGTACGGAGGGCAGCAGCAGGGATCCGTAGCGCGGGTCGAAGGCGGGGCCGTAAACCTCGTGTGGAGCGCGGTAGGCGGAGCCCTGGGCGCCCAGGGCCCCCCCCCGAAAGGACGGGGGGTGGGGGGGGGGGGGGGGGGGGGGGGGGGGGGCGGGGGCGCGGGGTGCGGCGGGGGCAGGTGGGTGCTGTAGGGGTCCCCCGGGAAGGAGAGGTCCGGGTGGGGCGCCGAAAGGGAGGAGGAGCTGTTCCAGAAGGAGGGAGGAAAACTCCTCTGGCTCATCGGGAACGACCCGTCTGGAAAAAAAACGGGGAAAAAAACGGGCATTTTATGTGTGTGTGTGTGTTTCAATTCAATTCAACTCAGTTTTATTTATATAGCGCCACATCACAACAACAGTTGTCTCCCAGCGCTCTCCAAACAGAGCAGGTCAGACCCTACTCTGAAGTTAACTACAGAAACCCAACAATTCCCACCATGAGCAAGCACTAGGCGACACAGGCAAGGAAAAACTTCCTTTTAACAGGCAGAAACCTGGAGCAGAACCATGGCTCAGGGGTGAGGGAAAAAGAGGGCAAGAGAGAGAGAAGGACAGAGGGCGAGAGAGAGGCAGCCAACACAGCAACACGTAGACTAAATGAAAAATGTTTATGTTTATGCATTTGGCAAACGCTTTTATCCAAAGCGACTTACAGAGTAGACACAATATTACATTTATCATCACTATGACAATAAGCTATATAGAGGAGAAACACTGATCAGAGTCAGTGGTGACAATTCAATTCAATTAAATTTCATTTATATAGCGCCACATCACAACAACAGTTGTCTCACAGCGCTTTCCAAACAGAGCAGCTCAGACCCTACTCTGAAGTTAACTACAGAAACCCAACAATTCCCACCATGAGCAAGCACTAGGCGACACAGGCAAGGAAAAACTTCCTTTTAACAGGCAGTAGACACAATATTACATTTATCATCACTATGACAATAAGCTGTACAGAGGAGAAACCCTGATCAGAGTCAGTGGTGAGATAGAGATAGAGGTAGAGGGACTAAAGAAGGAGTTGTGAGGGGGTAGAGGTACGGGTTAAGATTAGGATAGGAGATGCTCTTTTTTAGTCTTTTTCACCCCAATACCGAATTAACAAACCCCTCTCTATGTGTGGATTTGTTTGAACCTGGAACAGGTTTTAGGTGTCACTAAAATGTGTCATTCACTCACCAAAGAAGCAGATTTATTTTTTTAACCCTGTAATGCCAAATGTATCATATCTGATTCATACGGTTTCTGCAATGTTTTGCGTCTGACACTTTTTGCATAATTTAATGGTAAAAACTTTGCTCAAAATCCTTTTGTACACAATCAGATACACCTGATAACAGGGGGCAGAAGACTACACAAAAAATAATCTTGACTTATCACATAGTAATAAATTATTAATATTAAAAATGTATTTTAGTTTTTTCTTTTTACATATTTTGTTAAAAGGCCAAATAAAGACTTCAAACCAAAAAAACTCATTTTCTGTTTGTTTTATTCTTGGATCAGGCTTTAAAGGGTTAAATAGCATTTTTTTATAGCCATTGGTTACAAAAATGTAAAAACTACAAACCGAACGTGCTGTAAAAACTGAATAATTGTGTCTGATTCAGGATTTATTGCAACATTTTTATCATTTCCATAATTTTTTCTATCATAAGCTTGAACATTAAAAGCGTTTTGCTTCATTTGAGCATCCGGCTGACAAGAAAAAAAATCAACTCAAAAGCATCAACTTTGTAAAACTAATAGAACCTGGAAGTCACTGAGGGGGTCAGAAAAGCAGAAATAATTTCCCAGAAATAATTTAACCATGTTTTCAATTTAAATCATTCAACGGGCCCTAACAAAATTTCTTTTTAAACTTTGTTTGACCCTCTGTAAGGTTTTAAAGCCAGGTCAAATGAAAATACAATACACACAATGTTCCCTCACATATTGTTAAAGTAAGGTTTGATGAGTAATGTTTAGGGTCATAAAACACTGAGACGGAGGACCAGAACAAAGATAAATAAATCTTGACTGGTTCTCTGATTTATACATTTATAAATGCATTTTGCATGTAAAAGAAAAGCGGCACAGATCTTCAAAAAAGTTATCTTTAATTAAAGTAGATCCCACGTCTGCAAATATTTACAGTGTTTTGAGGGGGAAATGACCATATTTACACACATTTCCTGCCAAAAAACCTAAAATAAAACTCATCACAGACCCACACAGACCCACACAGACCCCCTCAGACCCACACAGACCCATATAGACCCCCACAGACCCACTCAGACCCACGCATACCCACAGAGTCCCCAAAAAGTGTTATATTTACAGTATTTGAGGGGGAAATTACCATATTTACAGACATTTCCTGCCCAAAACCTAAAATAAAAATCCTCACAGACCCACACAGACCCCCTCAGACCCCCTCAGACCCCTTAGACCCACAGAGTCCCCAAAAAGTTATATTTGATAAAAGTAGATCCCACGAAAAATGATCAAATTTACACACATTTCCTGCCCAAAACCTAAAATAAAACTCCCCTCAGACCCCCCCAAACCCCGTCAGACCCACTCAGTCCCCCTCAGACCCACACAGACCCACTCAGACCCACTCAGACCCACACACACCAACACAGACCCACACAGACCCACGCATACCCACAGAGTCCCCAAAAAGTGATATATTTACAGTATTTGAGGGGGAACTTACCATATTTACACACATTTCCTGCTCGAAACCTAAAATAAAACTCCTCCATGACCCACACTCGCTCACTCAGACCCCTTACAGACCCCCTCAGACCCCCTCAGACCCCCTGACCCACCTCTCAGGGCCTTGTGGCTGCTGGGCGGCGGGTATGCGGCCGTCTGGCTGAGGGCGCGGCTGAAGTGCTCGTCCACCACGCTGCTGATGTCTCCCTGGAAGTAGCTGAAGAGAACACAGCGGGCGCCCAAGTACTCGGCGCCCGGCGGCAGATCCTTGTCCTCCTCTTTGATGGCCGGGGGCCCCGGGGGCCCCGGGGGGGGCAGCTGCCTGCTGCTGCTCTCCTGGGGATCTTGCATTTTGGAATACAAGGCCAGTTTCTGAGAAAGAGAGAGAGGTTTGATGAGCAGATCCTCAGAAATATGGTTCAGTTTAGACTTCTGAACTGTAGAAAGCATTAAAGTACATTTTGGGATCATGTCCTAGAAGGTTTGAATCTTAGACTTAGACTTAGACATCTTAGACTTAGACTTAGACTGTTTAAACAGGCTACGTTTTGATGACAAGATCCTCAGAAATATGGTTCAGTTTAGACTTCTGAACTGTAGAAAGCATTAAAGTACATTTTGGGAGTTTAGTCTTTGCACCTCCATCATGTCCTAGAAGGTTTGAATCTTAGACCTAGACTTTTACTGTTTAAACAGGCTACGTTTTGATGACAAGATCCTCAGAAATATGGTTCAGTTTAGACTTCTGAACTGTAGAAAGCATTAAAGTACATTTTGGGATCATGTCCTAGAAGGTTTGAATCTTATACTTAGACTTAGACATCTTAGACTTAGACTTAGAGTGTTTAAACAGGCTACGTTTTGATGACAAGATCCTCAGAAATATGGTTCAGCTTAGACTTCTGAACTGTAGAAAGCATTAAAGTACATTTTGGGATCATGTCCTAGAAGGTTTGAATCTTAGACTTAGACTTAGACATCTTAGACTTAGACTTAGACTGTTTAAACAGGCTACGTTTTGATGACAAGATCCTCAGAAATATGGTTCAGTTTAGACTTCTGAACTGTAGAAAGCATTAAAGTACATCAGAATCAGAATCAGCATAAGGTTTATTGCCAAGTAGGTTTTTCACCTACGAGGAATTTGATTTGGTGTTTGGTGCACAACACTTCTATGAGAAACAAGAAACGACATACAATGTAGAAATAAAAATATAAAAATATAGAATAAAATAAAATAAATAA